ATCCCAATTCGATGCATAACAAATGCAAGAATATTTGCAACAATATAATGCATCATTGGCGGCTTGTATTCCGAACTTCCAACCACCACCATTTCCTAACTTTCTATTCAACTATAACACACAAGCAAGTAGCTCTCAACAATTTGCCGAAAGGATGGAAGAAGACGGAGAAGGAGAAGAAGAAGAAGAAGAAGAAGAAGAAGAAGAAGGAAGGAGAAGAAGAAGAAGAAGAAGAAGAAGAAGAAGACGATTATGAAATGATGATTGATGTTTTTTAGTATTATGAACAATGTTAGTTACCTACTTATTGTAATATTAAACTTGAATTTGATGTTTTGAATTTGAACAATGGTACTATTAATGTATTTAATTGATATATGCTGCAATGTTTTTTGATTTGTTAAAAATGCAGGAATGGTAATGTACAAAACCTATAAATCTAAAAAAACAACCAATAGCTATCCCGACGACTAGTCGTCGCTATAGTCCATAACCATTAACTGATAAAACCCTTTAGCGACGACTAGGCATCGTAATAGCCTCAACTTGTCCCGGCGACTTGTGGTCGCCATAGCTATCCCGAGGATAAATAGTCGCCATAGGATTTTAATAAAACATTATTTTTTCCCTCGAAAATGTCGTTGATGAAATCTGTGCCGACGACATGTCGTCGCAATAGAGCTAGCTATACCAACGACCTAACAGACCTATGCCGACACGCCTGTGACGACTTTTTCCCGACGACGACTTGTCGTCTCCATAGGGTCTAAAATCGTCGTTGCACAGGCTCCGATTGTTGTAGTGTAGTATTTGACATGTTATATCTACTAGAAAAAGTTAATATTTTACTTATACATGTCATAATATGTGTTCAGATGGTTATGGTACATGATTACATGCGAAAGTATGAAGACTTGATAAAAAACTAAAGTACGTTGCCAATGGTACCGATTTCGGTTTCTATTCTACTTATAAATAAGCCAAAATCAACTACAAGTTAAATGCAAAAGATAATTCTTACACATATCTAAGCCGTACGCATAAATCTAGTAAAAGTATTATCGCGAATCCACATAAGCAAGCAAACTCATGTCTTTTACCATCGGCATCTACCATCATCCATTGTGGTATACATTTGTCTATATGGTGTTTTATTTTCTGTTGCTATCTATCACCATCTGCTATCAAGTATTACCAATTACATCTTCATATCATCATATACATTAAGGTATAACCTACCAACCACCTAAGTTTTTGTTTTGTCAATATGTTTAAATCAACATTATAAATCTAAATATGATAATCACCATCAATTAACCTCCTTTATTGTCTTTTTCCATACGATGGCCATCATAAAACTTACACAAGTAACACAACCTAACCGTGCTACAACACCTCACTAAATTCTCCCATCTTTGTCATTTGTACACGCCCTATTGCCGTATACGATAAATAATAAAGTACATTGCTTTTATGGATAAAAAATGTAAGGATATTGTCTATATTGGTATAAAGAATATAGTATGTTGCTATTATGGTTAAAAATAACGTATGATGATATTATGTATAAAAAACAATCTATTGCTATTATGGCAAAAAGTAAAATACATTACCATTATGGATAAAAAACTAATGTAAGTTTCTATTATGAAAAAATGATTATGTCTCCGTTATTGGTAAAAATGTATGTACGTTACCCAAGGTTGTAAACGTCGCTAGCCGGTGGTCGGGCGGTCTACTGAGGTTAAGGGACTAATAGGTCTAGGCGGGATAAATCGACGCGTAAGCGGAGACCCTTAATTGTAGCATAATTTATTTTAAAAAAAATAAATATTACCTATATCCTAACAAAATAAATCAATAATCATAAAAGTTTTGTATATTCATTTGTCTAAATATTTAAATCATGGTACATAATACTTTTTAGACTATTTGATCATATTTGTAATAGTTTTAATCTTCAATCATCATAATTTAGTCACCCAATATCATAAATGTGAATCGGATGCATAAAGACATTTAATTATTTTTTGAACTTCGAGTTTTATTTCTGTTTTTTTACAAATTTTGTAGAAATGTTGCGGGATGAAGCACACAATTATGAAAGTTCTTTGTTATCTGTTCAAAACATATATCCAAAGTACCATGACTCAAAAAGATTGAATGAATTAACAATTTTTAGTATGGAAAGTGATTTTGTTACAAAATATGGATTATTGTAAAATAAGAGATGTTCGATTCAAAAAATGCACGAAGACATTGTTTTAGGTGATTTTTGTAGGTTTATATATATATATATATATATATATATATATATATATATATATATATATATATATATATATATATATAGTTTTCTCTATTTTACGGTAAATAAAAAAGGGCATAAAATTTTTATCTTGCCCCGGGTAGTAAAAAAGAATGGACCGGCTCTAGTTCAAGTCACGTCGTGGAGAAATGAATAGTTTTGGAGTTGGATTTAAAAGATGTGTTTGTGTAAACCTTCAAAACAAATACTAAAAAAAGTAAAACTAAATAAAAAGAACTCTTTTTTTACGATGGGAAATTTGCAGCTAAAAACTCACTAACAGATTCAAATTGCATTCCATCTGAAATGATCAAAACCGACATCTATGGGTAT